AGGCAGGGAGGCACTATCCAAGGTATCCAATGTACCCCTGTATCTTCCTTCCTGGCAAATGGGGTTGGACTCAAGCCAGGGTTGGTTAAGGGAGCAGGAAGGAGAAAGCAGCTCTGGTGGCAGGATGGCACTGCTGTCCCAATGCTTTGGGCACCCCAAGAGGCTTCATAACTGGGGAGGCCCCTCTATATAGATATAGATATTAAAGTTAGTTATGAAACATTTGTAACTCCCAAGGTTATATTTTCCCTGTCAAAAATGCTTCTGATATCTGCTCTACATCATAATATTCTTAAGCAAATGTGAGGTTTTAGGGACAGCCCCATCATCACTCTTAAACGGCATAGGCATAAACTATGATAAACGAAGAAACCATGAATGCTTTTAATTCTGACAATTACTAAATTAGAATAAACATAAGTCAACAAAATCAAGCAATAGAGTTTCTGATTTACTGGCAAGATAACACTGTTCTACACATTTTCAGTTTTTCTCAGTTGCGGAAACGAAATGTGCCGTTTCTTAATAAATTTAACATGCTGAATTCAAATATAATAATTAAATGTGTTAATTGGCTCTGGTTTTTATGCAACAGCTATTTCAATTTTCTCCACAATAGGTAATTCGTTAATATTATGATAATGCGCCTAACCTTACTGCATGTATATAAACCGTGAATATTTACTAAATTTTAGTCAAATTATATTGCCAATAGTTTATACATGAGAAATATTTATTTAATTAGTCTATTGTTTATGTTTGTGCAGCAAACTATATTAGTAGGCCTAATGCAGTTGAAAAGTCTGAAAGTTTAAATGTCGCTTTAATTGTGACTTTAGTTTATATCCTGTTTGCATCTCTTGACTTTTCTTTTGTATTCAAGGAAAGGATTGTCTCTTACAATGCTCCAGCAGTAGTGTGACAGCATTGATGGAGTCCATTTACCTTGATATCTTTTTTCCATAGTGCTTTATTTACACACGTGCGAGGCATAACTACAGTAAAAAAGAACAATGTAAAATGATGTTTAACGATACTGTTTCAGTCTTCAACTGACTGACCCTCACCGTTCAAAAGTCTGGCCTTATATAGGGCTTTCTGGCTTTTGCACACAGCACTAATACTGTGTCATCAAACTTTCTAGAATATTCTAGAATCTTCCATAGTGTAAGTCACAACATGCATTTTTTGTGGTATGCAAAAAGAAAAATAGAAAAAAAAATTGGCAACCATTTTATTTGGTCTTCCCTAATTAAAATTTGGGAAAAATACAAAATGAAATTCTATTCAAAAACCCCTCTTTGGATATCCCCACTCGAAGCGCACCAAGGAAGGGAATTGAGATGGGAGAAGTGGCCCCGCTACAAGGATATCCTAACAAAAAATAGAGGAGAATATAGAATCAAGACACTAGAAGAAATCAAACAAACCTACGGTGAGATTACTTGGTTCCAACATAGACAATTGGCGGAAGCCTTTAACAAAGACAAAAAAGTGGGCTTTGAGCCAAAAGAAAAATATTGTGTACAGAAAGAAAAGGTATCACCAAACTCTATAAAATACTGTTTGAGTGGAAGACCGAGAAACACCAAAACAAAAACTGCCTCACAAAATGGTCAAGAAATATAGGGCATACGATAAGAACAAAAGATTGGGAGGAGATTTGGAATAACAAATTGAAGTGGATAAATTCATATGACCTGCGAGAGAACCGTTGGTACATAACACCCAGTAAACTAGCAAAATGGTACAAAAATACACCAGGACTATGCTGGAAATGCCAGAAAAAAAAGGAACCTTTTTCCATTGTTGGTGGGCATGTGACAAAATTAAAAGATTTTGGAAGGAGATACATACTATAACAGATAAAATCTTAGAAGTCAAGAAAGAAATGAAGGCGGAATACTTCCTCTTAGGCATTTTTGATTTTGAATTGGACAAGAATAAAGACAGACTGCTCTTTCACACGATGACTGCAGCAAGGATAGTGGTAGCTAAAAAGTGGAAGCACAAAGAAATCCCTACAATCGATGAGTGGACATTCAGATTATTAGACATAATGAATATGGATTGCCTAACAGAACACCTGAAAAACAAGCAATCAAGGATGATTAGCAAAGTCGACTGGTCCCCAGTCAGAAATTATTTCAACATCAATCAACTATAGCACAAAGAGGAAACTTGCGAAGAAAAAAAGAATCAACCCATACCATAACTAACATGCGAACCGGGCTCTAATCATTAGAGAACATAACTAACTTCTCTTCTCCTCAACCTTCACCTTCTCCGCACACCTTTTCCTAACCCTATGCACATCCCTTTCCCACCCCCCCTTCCCTTTACACTCCTGAACTCGATTCACTATCTATAGATTTATTTTATCAATGATTGACACTCTCTTGATGTACCCCATCAAAAACCTTCAATAAAAATCATTTAAAAAAAAACAACATGCATTTTTTCAACCATACGTGATCACGTGATTGCTTATATCATAAAAACTAGAGCCAATATACATTTTTAAATGTCATTTTCGTTTTCAACACCCCAAAATCATAAAAGAACAACTATTTTCAGGCCCGTAACTTTTTCTCCGTTGAACAGTGTAATACCTTAGAATTTTGACAGAAAAAATAGAGAGATGGGCCAAAACTAAAAAAAGGAAGTTCAGCAGAGACAAATGCAAGATACTCCACTTAGGCAGAAAAAATGAAATGCAACATACAGAATGGAGGATGTCTGGCTCGATAGCAGTACGTGTAAAAAAAAGATCTTGGAGTCTTTGTGGACAACAAGTTAAACATGAGCCAACAATGTGATGCGGCGGCAAAAAAAAAAACCAATGGGATTTTGGCCTGCATCAATAGGAGCATATCGTCTAGCTCCAGGGAAGTCATGCTACCCCTCTATTCTGCCTTGGCCAGACCACATCTGGAATATTGTGTCCAATACTGGTCACCACAATTTAACAGAGATGCTGACAGGCTGAAATGTGTCCAGAGAAGGGTTACTAAAACGAGCAAGTTTCTGGAGAACAAGTCTTGTGAGGAGTGGCTTAAAGAGCTGGGGATGTTTAGCTTGCAGAAGAGAAGCCTGAGAGGAGACATGATAAGGGCCATGTAGAAATATGTGAGAGGGAGTCATAAGGAAGAGGGAGTAGGCTTATTTTCTAGGGCTGGGCGGTTTCGTTCGTTAATTTCGTAATTCGTTAATAATTCGTTATTTTTCTTGATAACGAAGCGATAACAAACCATCCAGGAGCAACTAAAAAACGAAACGAATTTTTAAAGCTATTTTGTAATTGTTTTGTAATTGTTTCGTTATTATTTCAGCTCCTGGCTGCAAAGAGGCCCGAGCAGGGGCAAGGAGAAGGGAAGGCAGGCGAGAGAGAGAGACTGAGCGAGCAAGCTCCCTTCCCGGCCTGGCTTCCTCCCCTCGCTCCCCTGGCTCCCCCCGCCCCCTTCTTCCCCCTTTCCCCGGCTCACCTGGGCATGCACACCCCACTGACATCTTCACATGCCCGGCCCGGCGCAGGGGTGGTCCGGCGTGCCCGCTCGGTGGGGCCCTGGCATCCGCCGCCCTGGGAAAGACCCCCGCCCAGCAGCAGCGGCAAGGCCGACGACGCTGCGGTTGCTGACTCCCCCGATCGCCTCCCCCGCCGGGAAAAGGAAACGCAGGAGGAGGCGCAGCAACAGCAGCGGAGCAACCCGATTCTTCTCTCTCCCTCTCTCTCTCTCCCTCTTTGCTCAGGGTTGGGCTAAAGGAGCAGCTCAGTGCGTGTGCGTGTGTGTGTATGTGTGCCTCTATCTCTGGCTGTGCGCGCGCTGCGTGCGCGAGACGGAGGCGACCGCGCGGGTGGGAGGGAGGGAGGGATAGAGAGGGGGCAGGTGCGCGCGCGCTCTCTCTAGGTCTCTCTCGCTCTCTGTCTTTCCCCGACTGTCTCCCAATCCGATCCCGGGGCTGATGAATATGCAAATTTCTCGGCGGCGTCTATGTTGGTAGGGAGGAGGGAAAAGAGGGAGGAGAGCGAGCGCGAGCTTGTCAAAGTGACCTGAGCCGAGTGCAAGTTTTATGTCTGGTGCAAGTTTTATAGTTGTTTCCCTCCCCTCTCCCTGGCTGCAAGCGGTCGGCATTTACCCCACTTCCAGGTAAACTATTATTTAAAACTATTATTTAAAACTAATATTTTCATAATATTTTCATTTAAAACTATTATTTAAAACTAATATTTTC